AGACTTAATTAAAAGCCACTTGCATGCTTTCAGATGTATCCTCCTGATATCCAAGGTCTTATCAAAAGTTCATTTTGTTTAGGTGAGCGCATAGCAACTAGGGAACTTGTTATTTTCGAGCTTCAACTCTCAAGTCAACTGCTGAGAGATTTCCTCTTCCTGGTTTAATGAACAATAATGATGGACAACATGTGATTTACCCCAAGGACCACATTAAAACCCTTCATTAAACCTCGGGTGCTCAAATTTAAATTAAAGCGTAATTGTTCTGTGAAAGCAGGGCGCTATAAATAAACAGTAAGAAAAAAGGGAGGACAAATGTTTCTACCATCATTTACAATCATAGCTCAATTGAGCAGCAATGAATTTGAAAAAAATGTAAAGTAATCTGATAGGAAACTGAGAAACAAATAATTGGCAACAATATTCTTTCCAACTGTCATACATTGTGAGAACGTACTAATGTGCATGAGAAAAAGATGGAAGAGAAAGAATAAGGGCAGCATCCTACTATAAAGAGAATATAAAAAAGTTAAAATTATAAACAAGCAGAGAGGAGGTTTGGAAAATAACATCCTGTTAGTTGACTTCATTGAGCTGCTTCTTTTATTACATATATCGACACTAATCTAGTATTAGTTGAAACAGTGTACATGCCCATTACTTTCCTGCTATTTCCCTAACGCCCCCCTCATTATCAATCAATTTAAATGTCAATTAAAGGAAAACGGAAAAAAGTCAAAGCATCGGTCAAACTGTGGACAACGTACACAGCCAGTATCTAAGTGAGTAGCTTTGATTTTGGGGAGGAATTGCTGACAGAAACAATAGAATGCATTAGTGATTTAGACTGACGGACATGTTTGCTCTTTAGAAGGCTCAGTATGCGGTAAAAAGTTTATGCTGTATATCAGTCAATCTTATATTCTGCTTTTTCTCAAGTTGCTCTGTTGGCCTATATCCAGCAAAAAAAAAATAAATCATTCTAGGCAATATACTAATGTAGCCTTAACGAGAATATGGTATACAGCTCCCACTCGGCTTGAAAAATTCTGATTTATGGCACACTAACAGGCCAAACCTAATGCCCATTTTCCAAGCAGATTTTTTCACAGAGAGGCAATGTGGTGGCGAGGCTGCAGGGTGCCAAAAATAAATCAGCGTGAATTTATCTGTTTTGACCATATCCTGTGTTTAAAAGATGGTCCACCCCTCTGTTCCTGAAGATCCTCCAAGTCCCATTTACTGTCTTCACCGTATTGGGATGTCAATACTGTAAAGAGAATCCTATATGCACAAACATTAAAGGGGATCCCCAGATGCTTTAAATTATGCAGAAATATATTCTTCAGAGGCTGTGTTGTAGCTACAATGGGCCAGATTATTGATTCTCTCGCTCCTCCCTCCACATCCGCTCATTCTCAACTCAAATGCTCGACACAAATCCCACGCTGATCGCATCTTACACCCTACAAAGCTCTCTGACTCCTGACTACATCCTGTCGTCCTGCAGGAGACATTCAGGGGCTGTGTAGACTTAAGATATAAAATATCAAGTTTTGTCCTTCCTGATAGAAAGTAATGTGACAGGAGGACAATCGAAGGCAAACATTTACTCATTCATTTTTAGATATAAGAGCTTCTTCCCGAGGGTGGCAAATGGTGGACGGTGGTCCTAGTCTGGTTACCCAGGGCAACTGGCCAACTCATGGTTTCACAGCTTCAGCCATTCGCAGATATTGTGTATTTGATCCCAATACAAACAGGCACTTCAATAAAGCCACAGTCAATATTGTTCAATTTCTCAAAACTGATTGGAAGTCTATATTCTCTTCCTCCAGCCTGTTCAGACCAGTTTGCCAGCTTTTTTAAGTCTAAGATTTTGGTCGCTCTAAGAGTTCTGCAGTCATCACTACAACCACCTGGAGTACACCCAGCAACACCACGAGCTTCATCATCTCCACCATCGCACGTCATAGCTCATGCTCATTATTCACTGTCAGTGTCACTAATATTTAATATCATTGCAGCTGCAGCCATGTCACTGCTGTCTTTGCCCCTTTTATCATTATTTAATCTAATGTCAGCATCATCCATATACTCTGTTTTCATAGCCACTGTTTGAGTTTGTGCAGATTGTATGCTAAAGTTTACTATAATTATGATTATTAATGATATCTATCAATACTATTTGCTGGCATTACTACTTTTATCAGTAGGAGCACTACAGTTGCCATTACATTACTATTGCTGTTTCTGCCACTACTATCACTATTATTAATATTGCTATCATTGCACGTTCTTGTTCTTTTCCTCTGTGCTCTCTCTTGCTCTCTCTCTCTCCCCCAACCCAACTGGTCGAGGCAGATGGCCACCCACCCCAAGTCCGATTCTGCTTGAGGTTTCTGCCTCTTAAAAGGAAGTTTTTCCTCGCCATTGTTGCCTAGCGCTTTCTCTTGGTGGGAATTGTTGGGTCTTTGTAAATTATATTATAAAGAGAAGGTCTAAACCTGCTCTATTTGGAAAGTGCCTTGAGATAACTTATGTTGTGAATTGGCACTATACAAATAAAAATTGACTTGACTTTTGGAAGCATTATTTTTTTAATACATTTTGCCATTATCAGACAGTCGACATTGAAGAGGAAGATGGGAAACATGGGGTGAGAGGGGGATGACATGCAACACAAGTCCCTGGCTAGAATTGAACCATGGATAGACATTGTAACTGTAACCATTCATTTTTTGATAGCAGTGACAACCAGCTGCGCCATCCATGTAAACCTTTAAACCTCTCTCCATCATCGCTGTGATTACATTTATCATTATTAGTAGAATTTAGTGTTTTGTTATTTGCTCTATAAATCATGCTCACCATATACACCCTGCACATCCATCCATAGATCCTACTGGTTGACAGAAACCACATTGTTCGGTCATGAAAAGCTTAAACCTAATTCCTCTTCAGGACTGACATGAAGATCAAAGTCAGCAGTTGAGTATAGATAACTCAATATCATCTTTACTGGAGTCATCATCATTTCTTGCATCCTTAGCTGAACAGCTTCAGTGTTTGCAATTCTTGTTAGCGTAATGAAAACACTGAGCACATCGCTCCGAGCTAAGCTGTCATTTCCAACAAAGATCATTATAATCAAAAACATCAGAAGGTTTAGCAGGAAGAACAACAACATTTGAGAAGTGCAAACTTTGCAAACTTAATAGGTGCTGGAGATGAAAGACATAGTTCAAAATGGGTGAACACGGCAAACCATCGGCACTGCAAAGTTCACATTCATTAGCAAAAAGTGCAGAAATAAACACAATGCATTTCCTTGAGGGGGTAATTATAAAACAAAAAGAAAAAACAAATGGAAATATGTCTTCCTGAGTTAATGTCATCTCAAGCTTCAAACCCTGTGCAAAGAATTCCTGACCCATCTTTAAGGCCAATCCTCATGCATTCTTTGGACATGGGATAACACTGCCAACTCCGTAACACACCATGACATCCTTCCAGGTCTGTCATACAAAATACAGCAGCTGAGCTAGAGACATTTTTGCTCCAAGGGAAAGCTTTGCAGTGTATGTATTGAGTTTACTGGAGTTGTTTCAGTTGACTGAAAAACATTCAAAAGTACTGAAGTACTGGTGGACTTGCATCACTGAACATTTCTTAGTTGGTCTTTATTATTGATGGGAAATCATAGTTACTAGTGAAGGAGGGAGGGCTAGAGTTTTATTAATATTTGAAGAGATTTCACACAGTTCTGGTTCTGGCTTGAGTGATGTTCCAAAGAGTATTATACTGCAATTTTTGCATCACATATAATGATCTTTACCATTTTTGACAACACTACCATTCTTTATGGAATATATGTGTCTCTGTTTCAATGTTGTTTGTTGGGTTATCAAATGTCAAAAATAAAAATCACAGAAGTATTACGCAATAAATGCTATTGCAGATTTTCCATATTTCAGTAAACAGATTGCAGATTTCTGATCACAAACATACCCAGAGCTGTCAATGCCCTCAAGTTAATATCAACATCCAGGAGAAATATGTGCTGTAAATATTGTAGAGACAGAACACACTGCACCACCAGAACATTGGCTGTGCAGTGGTATCTGAAACACTGCCAAACAAGGACACACTCTCTTCTGCCAAACCAACCCCATATAACCTGCAGATAAGAGTGCCAATCTGAAGCTCTCAAGTTCTATTGTCTCTCTATGAAAAAAACATGTCTCTCTCAGTTGTTACAGGTTCAGCCCATTTCACACAAACCACAATCTAATTTGTCTACCAAATGGCAGGAGAGTGTCCTCACAGTGGAGGCTTTATGTAGAGAGCTGCAGACATGTGCTGAACATGTAGGTTTATCAAAATATGGAAGTAAGTCAACATAATCCCTCATGGTTTGCATTTTATTTCCGTCCATCAATCTGGTTGTATCGTATCAAAAATAACTTCACCCTTTCAAAGCAGTGTTATGGGATTTCTTCCTACCTTATAAAAACATCAGGATTCATAAAACTGTAATGGGAATGCAGCATGCACTGAATTATGTAATCACTATACACTGCAGCCATAAAATGAATCTCTGTGATGCTGAGAGAGAAATGATTGACGGCAGAAGCGTTTGCATTCATTCAGCTACAGTATCTGTCATGAAACTGACTCATAAATAGACGCACTGGTCGCGTTAATGTTCAACCCCAATAGGGAGAATATAGCATCCGGTTCGTAACGATTATGTCACTCACATTCCTATAAATTTCCGTGGGAAATATCATGGTACGGATGAATAGATTTAATGGTAATGGGATATTGATCGCGGCGTAACTTTTGCGTAAGGATAATTACGAGCCAAGTTAACCTACTAGGAAGACTTTATGCACCATGCGCTCGCAGCATCATGTTATAACGCAGATGCTGCATGTGTGCAAGCGAGCTGCATTCAGAAACATGCCACTTTGGTGCCGATCTGCGGCAGCTACCTTTGGCCGGCATCGCTCCCGAAAGAGCCCATGGTCCGGAGAGGGCTGGCGGGGTTGACCCAGGTGGGCTCTGGGGTTTTCTGTACATCGGTCTTGACGTCTGGGTCGATCTCCGAGGGCGAGGGCGTCAGCTTTGCACCTGCCATGGTTCTCCTGCCTCCCTAGAGTTACCTCCAGCAGAGAGCGGCCAATATGTTTCCTCCTCCTGGCGTCAGCACGGGCTCAGTCAGCGACCGACGCCGCCGGAAAACCGCATCCCCGTTTCACTGGTGCTGCACGAAGGCGGAGGGAGAGCGTCTCCCTCTCTGCCGCATCACGGGCTCCTCAGACACACTGAGGGCAGCATCGGCTTGTCTCCTGGTTATGGAGCACTCCTCCATCCCTGATGGAAATGTGATGTTCCCGTGCGTCTGTAAGATTCACACGTCGTCACGATGTAACGTCAATGGCTTGGCCAACCCAACGGGCTCCCAAACCATCTTACATAACTAACGTGGTCAAATAAAATGATCCTCATTCCCTTTGATCACAGAAACGTGCCAATCATTCACCTTCATCATGTCCATCAGTGCATCCTCTGATCTTCATTTCTAGAAGATGGTTTCTGAAGATTTAGCTGCTTCTGAAATCCCAAATTCTATTCTCATTAAAGCTTATTGATCTTAGTAATTGAAAGGCTGCTGAATGGAAGATGAAACCGTGCCAATCAAACAGTCCTCACTATCTAGAGATCTTCATTATTCAGCTTCTTTCAGCTGTTACTGCGGACAAAGGGCAAAGAATAATGACAAACCACAGATAAATGAGCAGGTGGCCTGGACAAACACTCCACAATCAGGCCGGTTTGCATGGAAACACACACACCTGGAGTACACCTTACAATAATATTAGAGTGTCAGTTAATTTCAAAAGGCCAGAAAGTTCTGATTTTTAGACATATCATTACAAGTTGGATTTTCTTTAATGGGTAGTCGTGTGTTGTTACAACAATACACTGATAATGAAAATTAATTATGTATCATTGAGTCATATAATGACATATTTCAAAGCTCCTTTACTGAGGAGATAGTGCACTTTTAAAAATCTGAGTCAATTTGCAACAAGTCAAAGCAGAGATACACACTGACACATGCAGAAAATTGTATAAAATTCAACATATAAACATGTGTTTTGAGTTGATCTAGTTTGTGACTTTGAGGAGTTTGTTTCAGAGCTCGCAGACCCACAAAGCAAACACAAAATGTTGTCTAGATTTAAAGGACAGCCACGCTGTGACAAAGTGTCCTTCACTTTGACTTATTCATTGTCATGGAGAATTGAGCTTACCACAGCACACATTAGCCAAAGAGCAGGGAAAGGTCCTGCACATGGGACCAGACTGCCACAGCACTAACACCACAGTCAGTTAGACTTTCAGTGATATTCATTATCCATGGTCCATTTGTTTTCTCATCTATCCGACTTACATGCGTTTGGACTGAAACGTAGAATAAACTGGAGCACCTTAATGAAACATGAACATCACAGAGGCGGAATCGTGAACAACACCTCCCTGTGTGAGGGAAGAGCGTGAAACTACTGAGCCACTGTGCCTCCCACATTTGCTGTAACACCAAGAAGTCAGAAGTTCACAAGCATTTAAGAACTTTATGATAATTACTGAATTGTGACCTGAGGTGGGGGAGGGGCATGTTACTAGCCTAGCAGGTGATTTTAACATTATCAGCCTGGACGCTGGTTGTACAGCCGTTCAGGTACACAAGGCAGGAGACGATGAATGGAGTTTTCCCTGTGACCTTGTTCAGACTTGGCATTAACATCCGTCTCAGGTGATCCCATCACAAGTGAACACCAAATACTTGATTGACAAACACATGATTTTCACACTTTTAACAATGATTCAAATTTACATCTAATTTTCTAAAGATTAAGATTTTCTAAAGATTCGGTTGGCGTAGTTTTGTGCCAGACATGGATTCAGAACAGTTTCTCATCTCTGGATCACCATCATGATCTTAATGCCCTGTTTACAGTCTTGTGTTCATAGGATGTTGTTCATTTCTAATGTAGCCAGAGGAGCCACATGAGCTGAAGCCTCGCTTGTAATGAATTTAGGAAACACATAATGCACTCCACATTCATTTCACATGGCATTTTAGGTTCAGCCTTCAGGAAACGCATTAAATTATCTGTCGATAGTAACCTTGGGATTAGAGAGAGAGGGGTGGGGCCGTGGATAGAGGCTAGATAGAGTGTTTAATCCACAACTAGATAGGAAAATCTGGGAGGTGAAAGAAAAAAAATCTCTTCTTTTTCCTTAACAGCTGATATAAACATACATGTGAGCAAGCCACTTAATCATGATTCTGTTCCTGTGAAGAGGCTTCGTGGTGCCTAGTATAAAATGGACTGCCTGATTAGGTCTGATTAGCCTTGAGATGTCAGTGTGTGCAACGACGGTATTTAGTATACACCATTGATATTAATGTTATGTGTATGTACCAAGTTAATTTCCTCTGGATTTTCCACCTCCACTCCTATCCTAATTGCCAAACAACATTATCCAGCAATTAAAGCTGTAATGTATTTATGAAAGTATGCTGCTAGATGAGCATTGTGGTATTATTTAATCATGACAGCAAACAAATGGAGACTGTGTCTGTGCTCTAAGTGCCTGTCAGTGGGTGGACTGGTTTCGATTGATTGCAAGGAAAGAGTCAAAGTCATGAAAAACAGAAGGAAATGAATGGATTGAGGAAGAATATCAAGATGTGCCAGAGAATGAGAGGAGAGGGGGGATGGAGACACGTTCATCAGCAGCAGGAACAGGAGCAGAAGGACAGATGTGAGCACAGAGACACTATGTGGTGAAGTAGAGAACTGCACAGTGTGAGTCGTGCCAACAGCAATACTGTAAAAACATACTGTACAAGGAGCAGGCATCAGGCAGTGCTGGCTAAATTTATTTTATATCTAAATGACACAGATGGCAGTATAGCCCCAGGTTTTATCTCTCGTGAGGTCGTACTGCAGTATCCTTGAACAAGCTGCTCAAACCCTTCACATGCTTCAGGTGCATCGCAGAAGCTGGTGGAACCTGCAACCCAACCAGAGGAGCATAGGATCCATTATGCTCAAATGAAGCAAGCAGAAAACTACATTTAATATAGGTGCCAGAGAGAGTTCTGAAATGACTATTAGCCCACCTAATGGCCTCAGGTTCACACAGAATATTCACATACATGATGTCAGACCCAAGTTATGGTAGCATATCCCTGATGTAAGAAACATAAAGAGAGAGGCAGTGAAGCCTATTAAAATGGAAGAGAAATCAGATTCTGCAGGATGAGTAACTCCCTGCCACTGAGATGAAAAAGAGCAGAAAAAAAGGAAACTGAGTTTTGGGGACAGAGCTGATAAATGTAACACCATGTTCTACCATGGTGACACAGCTGTCACATTTTAAGTTGTACAGTTGCAGAAAAGAAATGGGAGCAATAAGGGATTACTCATTTGTTCATGATGTTGGATAAAAAAAAAAAACAGCAGTAATTAACAAGATTTCTTCCAGCTGCCAGGTTTGATTTGAGAACTGCATAAAAAAATGACAGATTTCCTTGTTATCATGACTTGGATTTGTAGGCCACATTCTGCCTGTGCAGAATACCAAAGGCGATGATGGACCAGATAGTTTAGTAATAAAGTTTTAGTGAGCAACCAGGCCTCTGTCTAAAGCATCAAAATCATTGGATGCGCTTCGGCTCCATGCTCCGTGCTGCAGATGGGTGTTGAGAGCTGTAATAATACTTCCACTGTCAAAACATATTAAGGCAGTGAGCTAGTGCTGCTGTGGGCGAGCTGTCTGCCTGTGCACAGCATAGCCAGAGAGGGGGAAGAAGTCTAGCCAGTGCCACTGGCAGGCTCACACACAGGAGTGTACGCACGCACTGGAGCACTGCATTCAGAGGGAAGCTTTTGCTCGCCGACTGCTGGTTTGCCACAGGCTTTTTCGTGCAAAGAGGTTCAACTACCCATTTATTGGTCATAACCTTATGTGCTCTTCCAAAAACGAAGATGTCTGGGAAGGTTCACTTGTGTAAAATTGAGTGTGCCAGAGCCAATGGTTCATTTGGAAAAAAAAAAAAAAAGAGATTATTAAATTATGTCTTTTTATATCTTAAATGTGAAAAGATCAGACTCCCTGTTGAAGAAGAAACAAATACTACCTCAACTTGTGCAGATATATGTGCAGCATTTACTCACCCTCTATGCCTGCTTTTGTTTGTTTTCTTTTTCGACATACAGCTACTATTTCCCATTTAAACCTCCAAAAATATGCAGGCACTTTTATTAGGCCACATTACTAACAAATAGGCCATGTTCAACAGTTTCATGAATAAAACAAATGCTCCCAGCATGATGGTGCGCCAAAAAGCAGCGATGATGCTGTTCTCATTTGCATGAAATGGGAGAATCAGCTCATGTGTTTGGGGATGTAGCTAGAAATTTATTTTTCTTATTTTAAAGTAGGTGAACAACTGCAAAAACATTCATAAGTGATAGTAGCAGAAACTTTTCATCTTCTTCAGTAATAACTCACAGCCTAGTCTGTATTGATCCTTGTATGGGGAACTGTTTGAGTGATGGCCTCCTCACTTACCATCTCCCAAAAAGGTGAGATATAGTTTTCTGTCATAAATCAGGGAGACTCACTTGGATCAATTTCAGTGGTTTTTTTGCCACAATATATTTTATCATTTGACTCACAGTATTTTACTGACACAAACATACATGTATATCAGGCTAATGAATTTCAATGTTATTTTTAAACTCAAAGTCATAAGAAAAACATTAGTTATGTGGTAATATGACCAAGTAATAAAATGTATGTCCCTGGGATGTCATGCATCTTTTAAGACCAGGAATACACAAAGTTACACTACATCAACACATTGATATTATATCACTGCAGTATACTATATATACTGTATATATATATATACATATATATATATACACACACACAGCCCAGTTCTACTTTTAAGGAATTTCACAGCCTCAGGTACAAGAGCCAAGAGCCAGCAACACTTGCAGCTGATACGAGTGGAG